ATTTATTTCTTGTCCTGACTTTCAACTTTAAGAATTGTGAGTTAGTGAATAATTGATTACCAATTAAAGTGAGTGACCATCAGCATTTCTTTCTCTTTGAAACACAAAAATCCTGGCTCAAAACACTAATGCGTGAGATAAAGATCTTTCTTTATAGTAGCAGAATCTAATTTAGAAAAGTGCATTACTGATTGTATCCATTTGTCAGAATCTGCAGTGGTATTGAGCTCAACATTGCCAGTAACTAGAAATGTAATGTGTATATGAAAAAAGCCAGGTGCATTGAAATGATCACTAATTTTATTAAAATTCAATAGACATTTAGTTCATTTATTTCTATTTTAAGATTTAAATGTTGGCTTTGTCTTCACCTTGATGAAAATTTACTGAAGAAAGAAAACACTGTAACAATTTATTTAGCAGTCTGGTCAAGTTGCAAAGGTTAAAGATATTTTTTTCTTAGTACATGAGCTGGACTTACTACCTAGATTGCTTGGAAAATGAACTCTAGGGGGAAGAGTCTCTCCCCATCCCCACAGGAAACTGCAAAATGCTCCAAGACCAAGATTGACCCTGGTTTATAACTGAGCTCCTAGGTGGCATTTTAACATCTTACAGCATCAATGTTTTGAAAGAGTTATGGAGGAAGATCTAGCCTACTCTAACTGATACTTTACTGGAAACAGGCTCACTAGCTATTGAAAGCATTTTCTCTATGAACTGCTAGAAAAAATAAATAAAAAATATAATAACTAAAATGAATGAAATTACATGAGTGGTTTGACAGCAATATTTCTAATATTTCCACAGCCTTATGAGACTTGGGAGAGAATTATGATAAAATTTGACACTGAATTTTGTCCTGCTGTTTTCATAAAATCAAGTTCCATTACCCTGGAAACACCTTTAGAAGCAGGGTCAGAAAGCCTCACAGATTTGATGTGGTGCAAGAAGATAGATTATGATCCACTTTACTTACGGAAGTCTATTAGGAAGTCTATTATCATTACCACCTAAGTTCACTCAGGTAGCAAGATGTGTTCCTGTATCTCAAAATCTAATCATGGCCAATATAAAATTTCTGGTTTATATCTCAGCTTAAGTATCAGGCTGTCCTGTAAATATAGTAGTCTCCCATCTCTAAGGTTTTCATAGAATGAGCTGTTGCTTAAGTGTTCAACCCTGTATCACTGAAGCCAAAAAGGATGTGTTTGATTATAATTTCTCACTTTCTTTTCTGAACTTAGCCTTGATTTTTCATGAAGCAACTCTCAGCCATCTGGCAGGTAAATTCTTCAGAGTCACATAACTGAGCCAAAGAATTTCATATTGCACTATCAAGGTCCTAGAGATAACAAGATAAAACTTAAGGAATACTGATTGTCCATACCAGATGTGCCAGTACAAGCACTTAAGACACTGCAGTGATGAATGAGTTGAAGACATGTTAGAGAGATATAAACCTACTTGCAGTAAGGGATGAACGAATCAAAACCCCTTAAGGATGATACACTTTATCACAAAGATAGGAATTCAATATTTTTTGCATAAGCAAAAATAGCAAATGGTTGAAAACTATCAGAACACTTCAAGATGCTCCAATGTATGTAGACTTTGTGAAGCTCATGCTATTTCATCCTGCCAGCTACTAAAAAAAAAGATAATTAGTTTAATTTATATTCACGTAGGTAAGAATTATTAATTTTTTTTGTATCGTATTCTGTACAACACTAATTTGCATTTTTATATACAGCTGTCCATCTAACATGACAGCACTTCAGTAAGTTAGGCAAATATTCCTATTTCAAGATGAATAATCTTCCTTTTGTACTAGCCACTGAACTTCAAATGACTGGCTCCAGGTAACCGCTAAGAGCAGGTCCTTTAATTAAATCATCTCAGACAAATCTCACTGGGGCATTAAGAATAAATCCGATGGATCTAGGGATTGCTTCTAAGGGGGAAAAAAGTATAACATGGGAACTGTCATAGTCATCAGTCCATTGGCCCATCAGCCTAATAACCAGAACCAGTAGCAGATAAGGCAAGAATTTAAAAAAAGAAGATGTATGGAGTGATCCTTCTCATAGTGTATTCTGAGATTAATGCAATGAGAATTTCAGGGACTTCTGAGTTGGATATAATATCCAAATTATAAAACTTAATAGCAATCTGTGGAATTCTGCTCTATAAAAGCACTTAAATAATTTTTGAAGACTAATGCTGTCTTGTGGCAATGAGTTCCTCGATATAGTCACACGTTATGTCAACTGTCTGTAATTCCATACAATACTTCCTTGTCCTTGTGAAAAGTAGTACAGAATTGTTCTCTAGTCACCTGTTGGTGTCATTCATCTGATCCCATGATCTTGTAGGTAGGACAAGGAAGACCTAGAGCAAGCGTTCCACTTCTCGACCTTTAGCTCCATTGAGTAATTTAACACTATACTTCAGAATACAGCCTAAGTGCCTAATTAGGTCTGCTTGCGCTAGCAGCTTCTCACAGGCTACTGATTTTTATGCCTAATTATGTCTTAAATCTAATTTTAGATAATCAAGTTTGAAATCTTTGTTGCTTTCTCCAAATTGGACTCAATCTGAGGTAAGCAAAATACAGGACATTTTTGCAAAGTATTGTTAATTTTGCCTATTGCCCAATTTCCTTATTTGTGTAATAAGAAAAAACAATACAAACATTTGTATTATACAAAACTTATGTGAAATATTTATATTTGAATGGTTGACATACAATAAGATATTCTTTGCAATTGAATGAACCGAAAAGAAATTTTCAGCAAGATATGCCCTATTTTAAAGTTCCTTTAATATTTCTCTAGATGCACTTTTTTCTTGTTTAAGTATACAGGCACCTAATTTAGGCTCTTTCATAGTCATTTCAATACATTTAAACACATAATATTGTTGAAAAATACAGTTTTCTAGAATGCTGCTGATACTAAAAGTTCATCTATAAACAAACCTTGAATTACAGTACTTTTGTATCCTGTTCCTACTTTACACTGTGTAACACGCTGGGCAAAGATGAGATGAATTTTCTTTTTAAACTACGGTACCTGCATGATTTATTAAACCTCATTCATTTTATTTGAGCTAGGAAGGTCAACTTTGCAAGCTGCAGAGGAGGGAATTACACTTATACCCAGGGCAGTCAAGACACATACTTGGAACATGGCACACAGCTGACAAGAAACTAACCTGGAGCTGGATTCTAATTAGGGTTGGGTTATGCAGCTTTAGGAGCTAAAAGGCTGAACAGCTTTCCACTAGCTGATGAAAGAACCATTTTGTGAGTTCTAGGAACAACTCATACCACATCACAGGTTTCAATTCTGTGACTATTTAAACAATAGTGAGATACATACTAATCTTATTCCTATACTATGCAATATTGTTAAGGAAGGTCATTAGCAAAACAGCCCTACCAAAATCCTCAACTATTAATATGTTTAAATACTCAAAGTAGATGTGCTGTGTTGATGACAGCGGCATTTATGGCTTTTATGATAGAATTAATGATGTCTAAAGTTTTCCTTGCATTTTTTTTTTTTTATAAAATTTCAAAATTATAATTTCTTTATTTTTTATGTGTAATTTTGGAATTAAAGCTAGCTACATCATATTCATCTACTGCATTACAGGGCCAACTCATCATTAGAGAGTATAAACATATACTAGGATTTTGCTGAAGAATCGCATGCTGAGTGTGAAAAAGAATCCTAAATTGTTTTTTATTTTCTTCAGAAACCCAAATTTCTAAGCTGTGCATAGGTATCTGGTAAATCACCGTCATAACTGAAGGATGACAATTTTTCAAAGGTCTTCTATTGAATTAAATGGTTGTGTGTTTATTCTCCAATGTTTTCATTATGTGAAATGCTGGTCAAACACTTTTTAACAAACTTTCTTTAGAGTGAAATGTGCTTCTTGTTCAATAAATGGTACTGTCCCAGAATCAAACATGCAGTAAGTGTGGCACTAAAGGAAGAAGGAGTTCTGTGAACTTCAATTTGAAATCCAATTCAAGTATCTTTCACTTTATGATGAGTTAACCTCCTCCCCTACTGAATTTCTAAAGCACTGCTTACGCTTGCACTCTTTCTCCAATATTCATTATTTTACAACATTAAGGAAGAATTTCTAAATCATTAACATGAAGTGGAAGGCCATCACTTACAAGTTTTTTATGACATTGCTCATAAAAGCTTAATAATACTCAATGCAACTATCATAGTGAACGTACAGCTGTTTCTACAAGACAGTAATTTAAAGATGTCAACTAATTTGCATACGTGAAAAAGAAAAATAGACCATGAGAACAAATACAACATAATTCAATGAACTTAAAAAAAAATGCTAAAAATCCATTTGTCCTGTTAAAACCATATTCAATTGTTGAACTGATAAAATAATAAAAACAAATACTGTCTCAGTTTTTTGCACTGATTGCTTTATGCCTACTGCTTCTCTCACTTGTAGTTACATGGACTGTCTCTCCACTTCCTATCATGTAATGACTCCACGAAAAACGAAAACTGCTGATAATTAAGAAAAGTAATATTTACTGTGCTCTCACAGCTGAGAGAAAAAGGGAAAATCTTTACTTTTGATCAACAATGTTCTGCACACCCCTGGCAAATCTCCTATCAATGCACTGAAATAAGAACATCTGCTGTCTAACCAGTACTTCACACAGAGTTCTCACTGGCTTCTAAGGGATTGATATATACAAAGATTGCTAATTTTAATTTTATTTCCTACTCATTTCCTTTAACATCTATCCCAACCATCTCTGCAAGAAAGACATCCACCTAAATATTTTCCAGTTTCTGAGGCTGGAACAGTTCCCTTGAACAGTAAGAGGAAGGGGAGACCTCGGCATGCCACATTGCTTCAGGATATCAAACTCACTTGGCAAAACGTCTGGCAGATGAGCCACATAACTTAAGAAGACACAATTTGTAAGCAGTCAGAAGTGATACCTTTAGCTCAGGCATGTTTATTATAAGCTGCATAGGTAGTTTAACATCTGGGTCCCTTGTATAGTCCATGGGCACAACGTTTGGTGCCATTTCATGGTATCGGCCATGCAACCTGTAAACAAGCAGAAAAAAAACAGCCAATAACCAATTTTGAATAACCAATTCCGTTCATACAGTAATCAGACACAAATTTGTCTTGCAGCTCTAATTATTATTTTTAATGCACAAGTCTGAGCCCACCAAATTCCCATCTTTTTCAAAAAAAGAGGGCTTTGATGCAGTATCCAGCATAACTGCTACTAACAGCCATGCGTAACTTGAGGTGTGTTAACTAAGGAGTGTTTCACACTACCTGTATATAAAATTTAAGCGCCGTACAGGTACATGCACAGAAGAAGTAGGCCTGGACCAATGTACTAACACTGTGAGTATAATCCAGGGATCACATCTCAGTGCAGATTATTGGTTGATCTGCATTACGCAAGAAAAAGTTGTTATTTAACAGCTCAAAGAATTTAAAAGCCAAACAATATGCAACTATGGTGCTATAGACAACGGTATCCTTGGGAGACCTTACCTCTGAATTCAAAAAGCCCTCTTCCTATCTGTGCCTCACTAACAGAGCAGATTTAGTCTTACAATTCTAGCACTGGCTGACACCAGCACACAGACCATTTCCACTTCATTCCATTTCACATAGTTTTGTTTCATTCTTGGCCCAGCTTATTCATCAAACTAGTATATTTTAAAAGCAATAAACAAGTGCTGAGACGCAAGTCAAACATTCATAAACCTAGTTTCACTCTCTAAAGCTTGTTTATTGGGCTAAGAGTATTATGTTATAGTTTTGGTAAGGGAGCTGGGAAAGAAAGAGTCCAGGGCCCTGAAACACATCAATGTTTCTAAAGATTTAGAAGCTGAATGCCAGGAAATGATAAAAACTGTCTCAGTCTCACACACAGCCTGGGCAAAGACTGCACAAGTGTTTCTATGATATTACTTCCAATTGTTAATTGAATTAACTTAACAAGCATTAATCCCACCCTTTATTTGCTGTCTCCAAATATTCCAGTTAATGAGTTCAAAAGCATAGCCCCAAAGCCAAGAGAAAACAGCCATGTGTAAAGAAAACATCAAATTAAGCAGGATGCAAGTTTTAAAACTATCTTAGCACATTTATTCCCACTGGGATGCTCACTCAAACTAGGAATAGAAACATTTCAAGTAAAATGGGTATCCAATTCAACCTCACCAATGGATTTCAAATTTTGAGCTCTCAAACAAGCTACAGACAGAAATTGGTATATAAAATACTACCCAGATAGAAGGAATTTATATGTTAGAGAGATTAATTCTACTGATTTTCTGATTTTACTGATTCTAGTGATATCTTATTCTAGCAGATAAGTATCTAGAATCCAAGACTGTCAAATAACAGCATAAAAAGGTTGGAGAGACAACACCGGTAACCTAGTGCTCAAAGATCAGTCAGAGAACAATATATTTAGCATGAATATATGACCTGCCAGTCCTCTGTGAAATGCCATGTGTAAAAACAATAGGAAAGAAGCTTAGGTAGTTGTTTACAGAAAACTTAGAAAACGTATGATAAAAATATATTTTTTATTATGAATTAATATTATTAATTTATTATGAATTAATTTGCTTACACCTAATTCATAAACTGCTTATGGCAGAAAGTGGTCATTTTGCCATCTCTTATGTACTAACACAGAGTATTCTCTTTAGGTCACATGTACTATTCGTCTATATTAAAAAGCTATATTTATTATTTTGGGACTTATTTTCTTTTTAACAACAAAAAAATCCTGGCTGCTCACTAGGTATACTAACGGTTACAAATAGAGATTAACATTTTTTAAACAGCAGAACATAAACCAGTAATACTGAAAGTAATGCCGCACCAATCCCTTCATCTTCCCAGCTTTAGCCTCAGCAACCCCTCAGTCAGCCCCGCAAGCAACTGAGCTATTCAGATTAATGCGGGTGATGAATTTCAAAAGCTAGAATAATCTACAGGCATCTTTTTTCTCAGCACCTCTTTGGTCCCGATTATGACGTGTCACAAAGAACACATGAAATAGAACATAGAAACATGTTATGTCTGGATCTTAGGAAACCCATGTGTTTACACTGCGGGGCAATATATTGTGCCATACAAGAAATTAAATATCCACTGATCTAAGCACGTTTCAGCTGCTTACCACAGCTCACCCTGACATTTCATAAATACCATGTAATTCAAGATGCAATAGCCATTTCCCACTCCAGCAACTCATTTCTCTGGTGTAAACAGCAGCTACAGAAATGCCTCTAAATACAACAGAAAAACCAGCTTAACAGCACTTGAAGGAACGCAAACCTTTCAAATCAAATACCTGTCTAAGAATTTATTAATTTTTTTTTAAGCTAGACTACTGAAATGGTGTTCCACGCTTCATGAAAATAAAGCATTCATCATTGGAACAGCTTACCCATTGTGGGCAACATTTCAAAACACACCAGCTGGGAATGCCTGCTCATTTTTACTGCCAAGATTTTCTTCTCTACTTTCTCTAGTGTTAGACTTTCCTGTCTTTGCTCTGTCTCCTCCAACAGGACTATGAATACAGACACTGACCTGGGCATCTTAAAGGAGTTCTCCATAACGCTTTTCAGAAGACACAGAAGGGATTGGAACAAAGTGGAAGACACAGAAGGGATTGGAACAAAGTGACCTGTGTGTCATAGTTGACTAAGCTTGTTATATTAATCCGAAATGCAAGGTATGGAATTTCTCTTAGTTTGACAAACCTCTTGTTTGTGGAAAAAAAAAAAGCTGGGTCTATTTCTATTGGGAACAAATGTATGACAGAAGTCTAAAAATGTTGTGGTAAAGTATGTTACTGAAATACAATCAAATCACAAGAATAAACAAACATCCATTCATGGTAACAGAAGAAGCAGCCACAACAGTGTGAATTTAAAGTTACTTTAGTACTGAGTATAACACAGTACTACAATAGAGACTGAATACTCAGGTGACAAAAAAAAAAAAGGTACCTATTACAGGTACTTAAAGCAGCACTTTATCGCCACCTCTGTGACTCACAGTGATCTGGTACTCAGTAGTGTTTTGGTAGAAATACTCAAGCTTCTTATGATGCTCACCAAATGAAATAAGAAATTTGGAAACGATACGTACAGAGCGAGCAGTATTATTCTAACATAAGAAATACCCTTGTAAGGCACCTGACAGGTTGCAATGCGGTGCCCCTGATGCCATTTGCTGTGAAGCAACAATCTTATTTCAACGATGGAGGCTTAGAGGGAGGGAGATCAAAGAGAGGGCACAGCCACAGCTCTTACCAGCTGCTTGCTGATATTCCGTTTCTCAGGACAAAGATTTAGTTTCTTTATAGCATGCAATACCAGTGCAGAGTAAACCCATAATTTCTTGCTGACTGAATCCACCATCTTGTCCACAGAAAATAACACAACCTATTTATACTGAAATTAATCCAAGCTCTTCAGGAGCTGAAAGAAGGATCCGGTTTTCAACTGGAAGATATAGTGTTGTTAACTGCAAAGCACTTAGCAGAGCAGTTAGGCTTTGTATTAGATCTTAAAACTGCCTTTCTCATCCCACAGCTATCAACTAATCTGTGTCTTCCAGTGCAAGGCCAACAAAAGCATTCCTATTTTACTATGGACAAGGCACCTACATAAACTGTAAAGAATATGTGTCCACCTGACGGCACCGTGGTAAGTACAATTACCCAAGACTGATGCATTCTCTCTTGTGCTTTTCCTACTGCTTCAGACATTGAGTTCTCGCAATTCCTTCAAAAAAAAAAAAAAAAAAAGATACTACCCTAGCACATTTACACCTCCATACAATGTAAATACACTAATTTCAGAAAGCACCTCTAAGAAAATATCCACAGCATGCCTCTGAAGGGAATGCGTTTTAGCTAAAAACGTCACCAAATGACACAATAAAAACACATTCCTTTAGTTTGCTGCCACAGATTATAATGCAACTAATTCCTCTTTCCTTTCTGCAAGGAGTTACAGCAGAAGCATTGAGTCGAACAACACATCTGCTGACAGAACTCAGTTTTTAGAATCAGAAAGTGAAAGGCATGCCCAGGGATGGGAGGTGGGGAAAAACAACCAAAGCAAGAAGACAACTCCCCCTGTCAAACAACTTCAGTCTAACATACGTATGTTGCTAGCTATACATGTTAATCCATGCAGTTTCTACGCCTGTGTTTTATTCAGAAACATCCACAACGCAGACAATATTTATTTTTACAGAAATCTGTTACGATAGCATGTTTCCAGTACATCCATTTGAAGTTAAGTCTTTTTTTTTATCTCTGAAGATGAGCAGAAAGGAGTTTCCAGGCACTAGTAACTGGACAGCCTTCCAGCACGCTGCCTCGGGCTCAGCAGGACTATGCTAGAATTAGCTGGAAGGCCAATGCTGGACCCAGAAATGTGCAAGCAATTAACAGTAGATTTGATATCCTGTTCTCCTCCCGCTAACTCTTCCATTAATTCACCAAACCACTCAAAGATCTGCAGGTATAAGAGCTTTCCACCTGAGTGGATTTCACACTAAAGCATCCAAATGAGTCTGTAGGAAGTGGCTGTGATCCAACTCCCGCAAACTAAATTACAGCAATAAAATCGTCTTTCACACGCTTTTATCTGCAAAGATCCTACAACTCTATTTGTCAGAGCCTTATTATATGGCATGAATAGCTGATATCACAATGAAAAGAACCATAAGATTTCTCTAGCTTACGTTCCAAAACCAACACACAGGATGTTGCAGAAGCTCCATTATCCTTTTCAATAAAACATACAAACAAAAAACCCAGTCAACTGAGCAACAAAAAACATAATACCTTTTGCCACAGGAAGTTACTTATGCTGGAAAGTTCTTCAGGGACACCACGCACTGGTTTATGACAAACTAAGCACTGGATTGCCAGTCTCTCAAATGACCAGGTTTTGTAGAAAACGGGTAGAAAAGCAACAGGTCTCAGCCTCTTACAGGATTCTGAGAAAGCCACATCTCACAGTGAAAACAGTCCCTTTTGC